TGAATCTACTATAGAATCTATTTAAATTGATTTTGATAAAGAAAAATGGAATAAAATAGAACAAATCTCCTTCGCCCTGTAGTGTACGAGAGCAAACGTTAACTGCCCAATAAGTAGTGTATGCACCAGTGTGTCTCAATAGACGATTTTCGGGATATGTTGACGCTTTAAAAAAATTAAAATATCACCAGCGTGCGCTTGAAAACGAAGTATTTTCGGACAAACTTTTTAAGCGTGCTTTGATACTCTTCCCTAAAATACCAGTCTTCATGCGCACGATATTTTTGAAWGCGCACATGTATCCAAGGAATAGTCTATTATGGTAGTAAGCGCTAACAATTATAATGGCTGTAACGCTGTTCGCACATCTAAAATATTTTTCGTGTAACTAATACTAAGTAAATATGTAACCAAATCCCAAAGAAATGAATAATAAGATAGAATTCCAGAGACCTAACCTGACTGTCAAGTCCCAGTGTAATCAACATGAAGAAAAACAAGATGGMCCATAATGTTGAGATGGGCATCTGTGCAATGGCTTCTGGGTAGACAACAAATGCCAGTCCAGGTCCTAGAAACAAAGAGCAACGGTAAAGTAAACAGTGATTAATTGAARCAACAGGTTCTCAATGTTTCCTTACCAGATGTAGCAACCTCTGCTACTGTTGATTCCAGAGTGTAAGCCATGAACCCAAGRACACTGAACACAACGAAACCAGCGAAGAAACTGGTGCCGCAGTTCGTCATTGAAATAATCATGGCATCCCTTATATGAAACAATAAAAAAGAACATAATTGTAGCAAATATAATAGCAAAACAACAAATAAATCATAAAAGTGGATAAACGCCTTACAGCTCCATCCAATGGTTCCCAGTGCGCCACCTTAAAAGGTAGCCTTGCCGTTACATATAAGCGAGGCGACCGTTGAGCGTGCAGTGATAGAAACATTCACACTTACATATCAATCATTGCACGTTCAGCGATCGTCTTGCTTTGATGTAAAGGCACTGTTACCTTCCTAGATGGCGAGGGGAACGTAGAGAGGACTATCGCAAGTGCGCCATTTTTTGCACAAAAAGCATGTGGAGAGGGTTTTCATGTCCGATAAAACAGTCCTTCTAGTGAGCCGTTTATGCCGTTTCTTTGCAAAAATGACAGAAGTTGTACGATGGAAGCATAAAGACGGCCTCAAAACTCCTATCATGCTTTGCCGGACAAAAATGCGTCACTGCACATTTTGATGATCGACCAATTCCAACATCACTAAAAATGGTTGTAAAATGTTCAAATGTGTTGATGGTTTCGACGATACAATACTTCTCGTTCAAAAAGTCCGAGTCTTTATACATCGGCTGCTAATCATATCTGGTGATGACAGCGCATTGCTGTCAAACAATAGAATAGCAATGAGGTTCATTACTAATATGACGTACTTATGAACATTGTTGTTAAACTTGTTGTAGCTGCCAAAGGTGATCAGAGTACCAAAACCAACACCAAGAGACCAGTAGATTTGAGTAGCAGCGTAAATCCAAACCTACAAAGATTCAACAATTTCAATGATATATATATTAGTACGTTGTATCGTATTAATACTTAAGATTGATGGAATAGCCAAGCGCTTAATGATGTACTAGTAACCTGRGGATCAGCTAGTTTCTCAAAGTCAGGGTTAAGATAAAAGTTGACACCATCCAAAGAACCTTCCAGCGTGGCACCGCGTATCATCAGAATGAACAGTACGATGAATGGAAAGGTGGCAGTAAAATAAACAACCTAAAATAAATCAACACGAACAAAAATTGATAGACGGTAATTTGAGACAGGTCTTYAATTTTAAAGGCTTCGAAAACATTTTCAGGGACAAGACGCAAACTGACACACGAACAGAGTCAAGAAATCCTTTCCGATCCTTAATCTACACTAATAACATACACAACGAAATTGTTGCATTGACTTTAGAAAGTATGTACATGCATGCCRACAACGGAAAGCCAATACCAGTGCTGACAGTCTGACAAGGTACAATTGTAGCTGTATATAAGACGACAAACACGTGATATACGCCAACAATGAAGACACGACTTTCAAAAATGGCGGTAGATTACGACTGCCAATATTGAGGAACTAGCGAAGAATCAATCATTCAAAGGAGACATCAAAGGCAAAGACATCTAAAAACACTACGAAGATTGATTTTATGATGTTATTTAGATACTGCTGAAGTTACTATTCACAATATTCCATACACTGGTTCARTGACTATGAACAAACCATTGAACCGAGGCGTCAAGGTACAGTGAGCATAAAAGAAAAGATCTGTGTTCAGTGTACCGTGACGCCTCGGTTCAATACTTTGTTCGTGGTCAATGAACCTGAGTTTGGAAAGTCGTGAATACGGAGKCTGGTCTTTGTGACCTCGTTTTAGTGCTTAGTCCCCAGTGCCCTGGTCGGCGACCGTGACCTATCGCGCCATTTTTGAAAGTCGTGAATTGCGTACCTTCCCTGATGATTTGATGCCTTTAAAGAGACAGAAATACACCACAATCCAAGACAGAATAAGAGTTCCAAACAATGGCCAACGCATGTCACCAAGATCTTCTATAGCTCCAGTTATCTCAAGGACATTGTTGCTATAAAAATAAGTTTGACTAAATGAGTAAATAATTGATCAAGGCGGTTAAAGCAATGGATGGAGAAACGGGTTTAATATCTAAATTGATAAAATTGGTRTATTAAGCGCTTTTGGATTAGTCGAGAACTGTGTCTTAAGTTATTTTTGCTACGTAGATRTGCCGTCTGTGGTTAAGTGATCTGTGCGGCCGTCGCAATTTCACAAAATCAATTCTAAACTCGCAGATGGAAAGACGGGACAAATATACAACAGAATTACAATTAAAAATACATGCATCACTTGTGGCAGCCTGAGGCTGGTAAGGGAGGTAAAGGATCGGAGGAGAGGAGAAATGCTGGACAAAAAGCCGCGYAGATACCTCCAGAATTCAGCACTTGGTGAAGTTGGTTTGTGGGTACAATTAGGGATAGTGATACCACCTTCCGTACAATTGATCAAAGCCCCTGTTTTTCTTTCGGTCCTGAAATACAATAAAYAACGATTTACTAAATCCAGTACGTTACATCTAGTGCACTTGTAATGGAAGATAATAACAGCCATTTATATCGGTGGGAAACCGACAGCAATTATATTAGAACATTTGTATGATGGTGTAACAAAACTGCCAGAAGACTTGCGCATTTTTTTCATCTTTATTCAGAAATATCCCTTTGGAGAAAGTAAGTGAACGAGTGAATRAAAAAGAATCGCCTTCTGGTAGTTGTAGTATGTGATGYAGWTCGCCCATTACCTGCAGTAGTCAGTGTTCCATGAATTATCACAGGTGCTCCATGGGACAGTTGATGTAAATGACATAAACAGGAAGTAGAAAGTCCACGAGAGAATGACGATGTAGTAGATACAGCATAGATATGATACCATACATATTGCATACCCTAGTCCTAATAACAACAGAATATACTATAAGACACGACGATGTAGTACGTACACACATACAGGATATAACGTATATCATAGTAACATATTGTATACCCTAATCCTAATAACTACAAAATATACTATAAGACACGGCGATGTAGTACGTAMACATGCAAGATATTATGTAGATCATGTTGACATATTGTATACCCTGGTCTTAATAACAACAGAAGTTACTAGACACGACGATGCAGTTCATGCAGATTAAGCATATCATACTGACATTACACTTTACTAAAYATTTTTAAAAACAGTCGATCTTGTATAGATCACCAGAAGACAACAACTAACAAACAAAAACGACTCAAACTCAGAGACGAGACAATCTTAAGGCCAAATTAGACTTTTATCTACAACTATGGCATGCAGCCTGCGTAGGTCATCCTTACAACATAGCTACAACTAAACATACAATTGCTTAATAGCTCTACGCAGTTGCCGGCATATTGCAAGGATGCAGGCTGCATGTGATGAAATAGTTCTAATCCGGCCTTTAAAGAGGTTTTTCTTCAACAGCATTATGTAGAAAATCCATTCAGTACAACTCTTTCCATAACTGCTGATTAAGATATCTTAGTTTCGCCTCAGCTTTTACCGCACTACAGCATCTTCAGAGAGATATCCGCAAAAATWCCATTGAAAGCAGGTATGAATTATAAAACCAGCYTCCTTCGCCCTTTTGTCTCCATAGGATGCCCGATAGAAGGGTAGGCTACGAAGRAGACTGGTATAGAATAGATCATGAYTTGGTTTTCCATGTGGAAAATCAATACTATCTTTTTTGATTGAAAAATCATGCAGTYGCTTGATTTTCTCCTTCAGTAGCATTATATAGCAATAGCTAATGATCTCTGATCACGTCGCTGACGAAAACTTAGATTTTAAATCAATACATCTTTACCAGCAGTTAGTGACCATCATTGTACTACTTTTCTCAATTCTACTTGTAGCAAAGGTATTAGCAAATTGAATTTAGGACAATATTTGTACCATGTATGCTGCACGCTTTTAGCGTTTGTTACACACCAACGCACAATTCAATAGTGTGTATCAGTTATTTCTTTTATAAAGATCAATAATATCAGATAGGTATTAATGAAAATCAATATATGTCTTAATTTAAGGAAAGCTTTACCGATCCCATCTATCAGCGTCACCAGGAGCAGGTCAGCGGTCTAGCTGTTTGCTRAACAAGACTATGTTATGYGTTACACAGTTAATAYAACTAACATCCTTGAATTATTGTAAAAATAATAAAAATATATAAGAGAGCCAACTAAGCGGATAACAAGAAAGCCGACGCGCTTTCGTTGGTTTAATTTTGAAAGGTCAAATCACAGGCTTACCAGACTATTGAAAAGAGAGGTCGGCTCCAGGCCTCCCTATGGCGATTATCGGCCGAACCGTTAAAATCATCATTCTAAACTAAAAGATTAGAATATAAACCCGCAAAATTACTCAAATACCGACTATTGAAAATGATCTAATTTTGAAGACATTTCAACAGCTTTTGACYGATAATCGCCATAGGATACCTGGAGCCTACCTGTCTTCTAAATAGTCCATGGTAAGCCTGTGTTATGACTGGATTTATTTGTTTATATCGATCTTTAATATGCCGTTTATTGTGAAGTCATAAAAGATGCTGCTATTTTGTGCAATAAGGGTTGTCTCGCATGCAGCTTTTCTAATTGCGCTGCGTTGCCGTTCATGAGGTAGAACTCAATTCACACGTTCACTTATATTAAACGCATTGTGCACACCAACTTTTAACTACATAGCAGCATCCCGCGACAACCCCGATTACACAACGTCATTTTTCATCAACTTGACTGGTAATGCCGTTACGGGTCAAGTTGGTTTCGATCCCATCCAGCGTCAATTTCAAGAGAACATTAATATTCAGAATATTCATTTTTATAGTAATAAACAATCTCAATACAATTTTCGCTGTTGATATAAAATCTTAGCTTTATCAGAGTCTGATTGAACATTGTGCCATGGGAAAACCCCGGAACACCCTCGGAACACCCCCGGAACACCCCCGAAACACCCCCGAAACAGCCCCGGAACACCCCCGAAACAGCCCCGGAACATCTCATAACACCAAAAATAATAATAATAACAAATATAATAAAGTTTTTACGGACACAATTGTACCGTCGCTATGGTAACCATATCAGTAATCCCGTCCCACCGTGATACCGACAAAGTTGCCCTGTGCAGTCGTAATATCRAAGACAGAGGAATGGAAACGAGACTTTAGTGCCCTGCAGGAGTTAATAAAGAAAATATCTAGAGATTCTATTCAACAGAAATTCAAGAAAAATTGAAAATGTACCACAAAAAGACATTTCCTTCTTTCATGTTTTAATCAAACATTTTTTCAAGATCCCTAAGCTACTTTCGGTTTATGTCGCAGCGTGTAGCGTGGACTCCTGATTCGGTGTCCAGAAACAAATGACAAAGAGAATAAAGATCTGTCTAAACCAATCAAATAAAAGTGACAGCGGTCTCAGTCAAGACTTGGACCGTTCTGTTTTGTTTATATGGACCTGAATGACTAACGAACCACGTTGAACTTGACTCGACTGGTATTCGTGCTTCAGTGTCACTCAGCAGGGTAAAATTTACTGTACGTTACATTACAAAAACGCTATTTATACATGACTTAGAAAACAGGTTATATCAAGTCTTTSGAGAGTCAAGTACATACATGATGGATATGAAAAAACATAGTAGCACAACAATAACATGACTAATGGAAAAACAAATATATGATCATTCCAATAGATTAAAATGAGCACCAGGACAAAAGGACCGAGGAAAACTTGGAAATAAACTTAAACTTTAAAACCAGTTTAAATTGWCTTGTAAAGATTCGTTCAAAACAATTCTTTACTGAAGTTAAGATCACAAATGAAGACATTCTTAAAATATTGTTTTCTCCATTACATCCATCTTGCAATTTTGTCATTGTGAAGTTATGAAGCATTACGTAAGAATGGCGGACCTAGGGGAGGGTCAGAAGAGTCGCGACAAGAATTTAAATGAATTGAAATAACCTCTGTTAAACGGGCATCTATTTCGCGCTCAACCTCCATTAAGCGGTCACTGATGAATTCCCAAAAAAGTCCAAAATMATATGCATTTACTGTAAACATGATCTCTATTAAACGGTCAACCTCTATTAAGCGGTCACCTGGTCTTTCCCCAAGATGACCGCTTCAAATAGAGGTTTGTCTGCACCAGTGAAATATAATTTTCCTTCACTATTAATACTATTAGCGTCGAGCAGGTTCACTACTGCGGCGGTAGTCGGTCGCCTATTTTACGATGAAAAGCATCTAGTGAATGATATAATCTAATTTTCCAAAGTACTTTTCAAGGATCGCGAATCTGTTACTCAGTTCAGGCCATTCTCTAAGGCTGTGGACAGACACCTTGCGTTTTTGCGACTATGAAAGGCAGCGTTTTTCAAATCTTTGAAATGATGTTGGGAGCTGTGGTATGTATACCCACAAAATAATGCATGCGTGTTCGAACAGACCGCATATAGAAAAAAATAGATAACACATTGTTGGTTAACCAATGGTGGTTGAATATTCTGAACCGTGTCCACCTTGACAATATCATTGACCAATCACATTGTATTATTTACCTCAACGTCTCAAGGTATTTAGTTTATATCGGTCAATAATTCAAATTGATAGAACAGCAGTGTGGGAATACTGCAATTTGATTGGATATCAGTGTTGTCTACAAATTGTCTGGTTATGCTATTGGTCAATTTTACTCAAGTGGTCTTGTCTGTAATGTTCCCCCGAATGTTAARCTTGGATGGAGATTTCCACTAAATGACATTTTCACTACTTTATTTCATATATAGATAGGCTGTGTATTCATACCTTTGAACAGAGGGCAGATTGACTTCCACACCCCAATAACACCCGAGCTGAACCACTGGCCAATAGCGAGCTCGAGAAAGAACAATGGAATACCGTTGACCACCAGCATCAAGAAATATGGAATGAGAAATGATGCTGAAAAAAAACAGCAGTTATGAATAGTAGTTTCTCCTTAGAGACTTTGATATAGAGGATATTACTTGCGCGTGCGGAGATACGGCTTTTATCTTTGAGTGTTGAAAAGATTTTTCACGAGTGATSGTCGCGAACGATAGCATTCTTAGCTTTTCCCCCCTCTTTACCATGTATATWTTATTGCCCTCTKTACCATGTATATATTATTCAGACAGAAGAAAGACTCCAGCAGCGTTGCTATATCCTTCAAAAAGATGTTTAAAGAATTTTTAACCAAACACCAATAATTAATACTAATCGGTGCATATGAATGACCTTACTTTGGACACTATTGTCACACTGCATCTTCTATAGTTAAAACTACTTTTGCAAATATCTGATTGTTGCTTTTCTCTTCTTTATTTCTGTTTCTCATATTTTTTCTCTTTTCCTAGTGACCCTAATTTAAAAGCCCATATCAATTGAAATGCGAAGACTTTACCAAACCAACCACAAACCAATCACTGTACTGAAACACATTATTGTAAACCTGATGCCTGATAGCGCAACACGCAGCTGTTCTTTACATAGAACTTAGGATTGAGCCCGTGAGCAAATACCGCTGAATTGCTGCAGAAACCCGCAAATCTTTTGAAATTTCTAACAAAGCCTATCTGAAATAACTTAGRTATAGAAATCATGAATCTCAAGCCATCTTGACCTGGCATTTYTTTGGCCCTTCTCCAAACAAATGTCGTTTAAATTTTCAAATATATAGTTATGCTTTTCGCTGCCAAGCAAGATGTCGCTAGCGCAGGTATGACATGTCGCGTCTGCAGGTACATACCAAAAATCTTTGCAGTTGGAAGCTAGAATATGCAAAATGAAAAACTAAACCATTGCTGTTATAGAGAGGAATAAAAAGCACTCTAAAAACCATCAGTCAATCAAGGTTAACTCGTTTTAAAAAAGCAAAAGAGTGATTCCTATGATACCTAACGGCAACTTCTATGACATAGTGTAAGCAACCCACATACCATTTTCAAAATAAAATGAAATGCAGTGAAATGTATCGATTCTGACGATACTGCAACGATGGCGAMCAAAACGGTTAAGAACATTCCCTCTCTCATAAACAACAGTGCGTCCGGCGAGGTTCCAATAAGCGCTGTTTGTCCCGTCGCCGCTAGACTGCTGTGGATTAAGACGGAGGGGTCGGSTTTACCATCAACAAACATGGCAAAAATGCCAATTCTTTTKTTTCAATGCTACATGGAACAATTGTTTACTCTTTTTTTGGTGCACAATTTGGCCTTTTATCATAAATGTACAACTAAAGGACAGAGATTGTCGATTTAATGATTTGTGATTTGACTGCCATTTTTGTTACTTTTTTTCTCACTTTTATTACCTCACTGCCTTTCTTCTTTCTTTCTTTTTTTTATGGTTCGTCAAAATGTTCAGGCTCCGTCCATCATTCAACGTTATCAATGACCGTTCCTGATTCCTGCGTTTAAAACTACACACACAGTCGTGGTGAGTTAGACTAAGTTGCTTATCTTGTTTGACAAAAATGAGAGCAACACGTTCAATACCTATAATTATAAATACTATAATTACAACTTGTTTACAGACATAGTTGAACGGTTTTCTGATCTTTGGAAAAATTCAATTATGCGTGTAAGCGTATTGAACAACAATGATAGTCAGACCATAGCAACTAACCACAGCAGATACATATTATGAAGGAGAAAAGGAGACTCAATAGTAATATAACTTATAACATAACACTTCTCATCTTATATTTCTCATGTTTTTGGTAAATAAAATATTAACCGTCGCGTGCTTAATTAGCATATGAATAACAAACTGCGGCCAATGTAACTATTAGTAATACTTCAAGAAACCAAGATGTTCGTATTTATTAATGTCGCCTTAAAATAAGACCTCAAACCGCGATTGAATACGTGAAAGTAAAACTACACATTAACACAAAAAAACCTTTTTGGAACGCTATAATTATTCATTGATTTGTTAGGCTGTAGTTGATRCATGGATAATATATTTATGTACTAAGTAAGTTTTAAACTCGCTCAAAGTTCCATTATTTATTATTTAGCATACGATTCACGTCTCCATCCTTTGTATTCTTGAAAGTTGTGTCAATAGAGATTATCATCATTTATAGATGCTCTCATTGTAAATGATTAAGAGGTTTAAGGCATTATATCTTGCTGTGAGCTGTGCAATGAGCGTTACCAGATGAACTCAGTGCCAACTTGAAACTGTTTGTTTCAAGCTTTTACAAACATTTTGAGTTTCCTCATTAAACCATACTTTACCTCCTCCATTTTTATAGCAAAGATAAGGAAAGCGCCAGATATTTCCAAACCCCACGCAGTATCCAAGAGAAGACAGCATAAATTCTGCTTTACTGCTCCATTTCTCTCGAGTAGAATTATCTTCGACATCACATTTCTCCATGTTTTGCTCAGCGTTCGTAATTGAGTTGGAGTCAACAAGAGGCTGTTTAGTGTCAAGTGTAGGATCCAGTTGGATATCTTGCTCATCTTTTTCAGTCATGTTTCAACAAACGTTGTCTGACCAATGTAGTTCTCCCGTCAGAGTCTTCTGAATACTAAAACATACGCTGCACTGACCGCCTCTCAAATGACAGCTCAGTAATACAATACAATTGATCAGCATGACGTAGGACTCAATACTGGGCGCAATTTTATTCCGTCTCTTATAATAACATACATAAATAGCAAATAACAATAGTTTATATTGATAATAGATAGTAACATGTGAATTATTGCTTGTACTTTAAAGAAGAATCATATAATCAGAAAAAAATATATCTTTTCTTATGGCTCAGTCAGCTGTCACAACTGGTTGCCAGCAAAATTAAAATACATTTTTTTTTAATTTCAGGAGACATAGGAACAGAGTGATAGGTTCAAAAAATATTTCCCAGGAAACTCTTTGCGTCCATTGCAGGAAGGAAAATCTTAAATATATTTTAAATACTCGAGTGCTTTAGCGACCAGAAAGTTCAAAGTCCCTTTACCAGGAAAAAAATTGTATAAGAACAGTTATTTAGTTCTAATCTTCTAAGAACAGACCTCGTTGTAGCCTGCGTTACATCCCGGAAATTTCACAAATACCGGAATTTCACAAATATATCGAAGAATATTCCGGATGTAACGCAGGCTAACCTCGTTGGCTCCTCTCAAAGAATACTCTAGTACACACTTAATAAAGATCCCTAGTACGTTCTTCCAACTATTAATGCACTAAACTCATCCCCATCGCAGTTCCTGTTGCCTTTTCTTAGAACAATTTGAATGCTCGTTGAACAGCATTGAAAAACGTATCGGCTATTTCATTGGAATCAAAATGTTAGACAGGCAACCCCAAAAAAGCTAAAAATATCTGTTAGTATCATGACTATCATATCTGGTCGGGATCATTTCTCAAGTTCTTTTCCTATATATTTTTGTCGTTTCTGCTATGAATCCACTAGKGAATACATAGTCTCGTGTAATAGTCTCCGTCACGGTTCCCTTCGCCATCTYGAAAGGTAGCCGTGCCTCTGCATCGAAGCGAGACGACCGTTGAGCGCAATGATAGAAGCTTTTTTAACACCTACAGACAATTATTCACAACATGGCTGACATTACGTGTCCTCTATTTTGATTGGCCAATCCAGCCATGTTGTCCCACAAAAAATGTAAACAAGCCGGTCGGAAGGTGAAGTTGAGATGGTTTGGAGATGTTCCTGGTGCACTTGTAAGATGAGCGCTAGCCAGACAGCTGAAATGGAGGACGGATATATTTTGATTCCCAAGACAAAAACTAGCCTAGAAAAATGCTTGAATTGGATCAAAATGTACGAAGTGCTCACGAACACGAAGTGCTCAAAGTAAAACTCATAAAAAAAATTAAATCATTTCTCTAGGACTTTAGAACGGAAGTGGGTTATGTAATCACTTAGTGATCAGTGTTAATTGTTGATTGACGTAAACATCGATATACACGTGCGTTGTTGCGTAATTTAGATCAGTCATAATCTCTCACTCGTGTAGCAACATCGATTCTCATAATCACTCTCTAAAAGCATGGCTCAGCAACCACGTCGTTCGTCTAGAAAGAAAAAACCCATTACAGATGCAACGTTTCAATATGATGAACATATCGATGAGCAACTTGCTCTTTTAGAGCAAGAATACCAAGCACCTCGTGGGGCAGAATCCTCCTTACGAGACCCGCTATCACCAAATCCTATCGGACAACAACGCCTACACAGACGTCTGAGGAAATACGTCTGTTGAAACTCCAGCGCGACAAGCTAGCGTTGGAGTTAGAGGTTTTAAAGCTCAAGAACAACAACTCAACGCACGATGACTTAGGGGCGGATTCTCAACCAGAACGTTCGCAAAGAAATCGCAAGAAACGCTCGATCGACTGGCCTCACGAATTCGCACCAGGTGCGCCTTCCATTTCATTTGAGAAGTTGGAATTGGCCGATTTTGTCGCCGGGTATCTCGCGATGATAAATACTTACGATGCCGCGACAAAAGAGATCATGCTCCAGCTTCTTGAAATGCTCATGCTGAAAGCATCTCATTATACATGGAAAAGTGTCCGCGGCTTTTACCCTCAGGTCGCCCAGCAAGTAGAATTGTGTCGGCTCGAATTTAACGATCTACCGGTTATACGAGAAAAAGCTTCTGTGTATTTTCGCTATTCTGACCTTCGCTCGGCTTCAACCACGACGACAAGCACTACAGTGAAACCACATGGAAATTCTACCTCCTCGAGTAGTGGCAACGACCGATCTACTGCAGTGAAAGCGTGTCGTTCCTGGAATTAGACGGGATCATGTCAGTGTGACAAGGACAACTCCTCGTATACTGGCCTTCACAAATGTCGGGTATGTGCCAAAGACCATCCCATGATTCTCTGCCCGAAGCGGCGGTCACCCATTCCTAATCTAAAAGAAGCGTGACTACCAGATTCACGTACTCCAATCTTGACAAACGGACTATGCTCACGGACTTCGATTAACAATACAGCTATAGTACAACACATCATTGCCTCCAGTCATAATGAACCAAATGCGGACGGAGCTAAATTGCCGGTTTCCACGCAATTGAATATTCCAGCGTGGGAACATTATCTGGTTGATTATCAATATACGGATGTAGTTAAGTATTTACGCTTTGGCTGGCCGATTAGCTACACTGCCGACCATTTACCCAAATCCACTTTCACGAATCACCCATCAGCGGAAAACTATTCCGAACATGTCCAACATTACATTGACACTGAAAAGACACACAACGCAATCGCTGGCCCGTTCGTTCGCAACCCTTTAAATCGACCTTTGATTTGCTCGCCGCTTCAAACGGTACCTAAGCGAGGGTCGACTAAGCGACGAGTAGTGATGGATTTGAGTTTCCCTACAGATCACTCGGTTAACGCCGGAATTGCGTCGGGGACTTATATGAACAAGCCTTTTCGACTCCGTCTACCTGGTATAGATCGCCTATGTAGTTTCATTTTGCTTCATGGACCTGGTTGTCTTATCTACAAGAAAGATTTACAAAGAGCGTATAGACAGTTTCTTGTCGACCCGAAAGATTATTTCTTACTAGGATTCATGTTAAATAGAAATTACTACTTCGATCTACGCTGTCCTTTTGGTCTACGATCCAGCGCTATGATCTGTCAACGCACTACTTCGGCGGTAATTCACGTCTTCAAACAATTTGGCTACGTGGCAGATGTTTATTTAGATGATTTTTTCGGTGCAGAGAATTCACCCACGGCGCATCAAGCATTTCTCAAATTACAGGATTTGTTCGACGAGTTGGGACTTCAATCTTCGAAAGACAAAGATTGCCCACCCTCAACACGGATGATTTGTCTTGGAATCGAGGTTGATACGGTTGCTTTTACTCTTCGTGTTCCTCAAGATCACATCAATGATCTTCTAGTTGAAATACAACAATGGTTCAACCGTGCCAATTATACCAAGAAACAGTTACAGTCTTTGATTGGCCGCCTGTCTTTTGTCACAGCATGCGTTCGTCCAGGACGAATTTTTATGTCAAGATTGCTAAACAATCTACGTTTATTTCCGTCCAAATCTCGTACTATGATCATCACACCCGACATGTATCTGGACCTTTCATGGTGGTCTTCGTTTCTACCTCTCTTCAACGGTGTCACCATCATCAAGCCTGAAGATTGGATTTTTGAAGACTTGAAGTTTGCAACGGATGCTTGTTTGTGTGGAGGAGGAGCCACATGCCTGGACCAGTGTTTCAGTTTCGAGATTACACAACATATTCAACAAGCCGCGAATCATATTTCTGCCTTAGAGTTATACGTGATTGCGGTCGCAGTGCGAGTTTGGGCTCCGTTGCTCTCTCATCGAAAGGTTATTGTTGCTTGCAATAACCAAGCAGCAGTCACGGTCATAAGCGGAAGTGAGATCGTATGTAATGTGAGAGGGGGTGTGGTGAGAGTGTTACACAACGCAAGAGAGGGTCGAACAGAGTTTAGTAGTTAAGTGATATGAATAAACCAAGATCAAGACCAAAACAAAGTGACGGCTATTTTATAGCGAAATCAAGTTTCGTATATAAGTGGTGCCGTGACCAGGATACAGACCAGGAAAAAGTGATATTCAAAACACAACGCAATGTAACCAGAGAATATAAACAAACCTACAATGAACGACGATCAAGCAACTGAAATCGAAGTTACAGCCGAAGAAAAAGAACAAGAACGAAAGATTCATAAAGAAATTGAAAAACTTGAATTTTTTATTGATGATGTAGAGGAAAGCCGTCAAAGTAATGACTATGAAGAGTTAAAAACAGTCTTACTCAAA